GCCCCAGCTGAGCAGTTGGTGGGATGGCCGGCCCTGTGGTTAGCAGTCCAGAGCTTAAACCCCAGCACTACATGCTTAATTCACTGGGGTCTTTAATTGTGATAGCACATGGCCCATACCATTAGCCAGCAATTGATTAAATTTTAAAAGTTTTCTGTTTGTAACAAAGAGTGAGGTAAAAAATTTAAACAAGAGTAGTGCTCCAGTAGAAACATTAAAAGCACCGAAAGCAATGGTTTCAAATGCTGACATCTGGGCTACTTAAAAAAAAAGAAATTCACCTGTGGCCATTCTGCCAGCATGGTCTGGGAGCCATCTGTCACTTTCAAGTGTGACATGGTTAAAGAAATTAAACATCATAAGTACGTATTTTAAAATTACACATTGTCTTTCATATTAGATAAGGTTTTGCTTCCAACATTAAACAGGGAGATGTTTTCGTTATAGTGGTTTATTTCTTAGGATTCATTCTCATATTTAGACACAGGATGCTGTGACCTATTATCATGGATACAAGACAAATAAAATATATTTGCTAATAATAGGTCTATAGTTTAGCAGAAAAGATGACTATAATTATAAATTATCAAGGGTTCATGAAGGAGAGGGGAGCTGGGAGGGAGGGGAAAAATGAGGATCTGATGCCAGGGGCTTACGTGAAGAGCAAATGATTTGAGAATGATGAGGCCAATGAATGTACAAATGTGCTTTACACAATTGATGTATGTATGGATTGTGATAAGAGTTGTATGAGCCCCTAATAAAATGATTAAAAAATAAAATAAAGAGGAATAAAAATGTTTATCACAAAAGGCAGTGTTTCTTTTTCTTTTCTTTTTTAAAAATACTTTTATTGGGGGCTCTTACATGTCTTATCACAATCCATATATTCCTCCAATGTGTCAAGCACATTTGCACATATGCCACCATCATCATTTTCAAAGCATTCTCCTCCCCCTTGAGCCCCTGATATCAGCTCCCCATTTCTTCCCCCTCCCTCCCCCATCCACCATCCCTCACGAACCCTTGATAAGTTATAGATTATTTTTGCATATCTTACATCATCCTCCATCACCCCTCACCCACTTTCCATTGTTCATCCCCCTGGGAGGGGGTTCTGATCCTTGTGATTGATTTCCTCCTTTCTCCCCTCACTCTCTCTTAATCCTCCTGGTTTCTCTACTCTCCTTGTTGGCCCTAAGGGGTTTATCGATCCTGGATTCCCTGTGTTGTGGGCTCTTATCTGTAGCACTGTGCATGCTCTGGTCTCATCCAATTTGTAAGGTAGAATTGAGGTCATGATAGTGGGGTGAAGGAAGCACCAAAGAGCTAGAGGAAAGTTGTGCATTTTATTGATGCTATACTGCACCCTGACTGGCTCATCTCTCCCCTGTAACCCCTCTGTGAGGGGATGTCCAATTGTCTACAGGTGGGCATTGGGTCTCCACTCCATGGCCCCCACCCCATTCACCTTCAGTATGGTTTTATTCTGGGTCTTAGATGGCTGATAACTGATCCCATTGACACCTCATGATCATGCAGGCTGGTGTGCTTCTTCCATGTGGGCTTTGTTGCTTCTGAGCTAGATGGCCACTTGTTTATCTTCAAGCCTTTAATACCCCAACACTATCTCTGTTGATAGCTGGGCACAATCACCTATCTTCACCTCATTTGCTTATGCACCCATTTTGTCTTCAGCGTTCGTGTCAGGAAGGTTAGCATCACAGAAAGAGCAGTGTTTCTTGGTAAAAAAGAAAAAGGAAGAGGAGTGTTTTCCTGGAGGGATTAAATGAACGGATTTTATAGACAAATCGCCCTTTATTTGCGTTACAAACAGAACATGGCCTATATAGTTTAACTTTGGCCTCTGGTCATGTGTTTTCTTTAAAACAGAAATTTTCTAACAACCGAAATTGTTTATGAAACCCTTTCAATATTTAGATATCAATGGACTTAAAAATACTGTGCTGCCTTTTATTTCTATTTGAATATGATTGTAAGCAATTTCTGTTTGTTCACATTTACAATCACATTAATCAAATCCCATGACCATTAGTTGGCACAGTAGTTAGTCAGTAGATGGCTTTGTGAAAATATGACCATCACAAATGTTTATATTCCATAAAATATGAGAAATTCAATACTCCCCCAAAGTTCTTGCTTCTTCCTTACACAAATAAATTAATGGGAATAATTGACAAACTATTATTTTGTCATAAAAGCTAAATATTTTTCTAGGCTTTTGGATACAGCCAATTCATATGATCCTACATGTGGATCAATTAGAACCAGAATTTTTAAATAAGCTTGTTAAGTTCAAATAGCAAATAGGTAATATAATTTGGGAGAAGATCCAGGCTTCTGATTATCTGACACGTGCTATCTCATTATGTTTTATTGTATCTAGTCATCTAAATTTGTTTATTTTATGTTAACTCCCCCCATCCAGATATAAAAGGTAATTAAAACTCAGTGGGATTAATGGCAATTTGTAGCTATTTTCTTTATCATTTTCCTTATTTCTCAAGTATTCCACAATGAATATACCTATTCAATCTCTATGCTGAGCAAACTATCAGAGAAACTATATTACATGAAGAAGAATTTGGCTTCAGGATATGAGGAAGGCTTATTAACAATATGCTCTATGCAGAGGACACAATCTTTCTTGCCCAAAGTGAGGGGGACTTGAAGCACTTGCTGATGAAGATCAAGGATTGCAGCCTTCAATATGCATTGCAACTCAATGTGGAGTTGCAATCCTCACAACTGAACCAAATGCTAACATCATGACAAATGGAGATTTCAGTTGTCAAGAATTTTGTCTGGCTTGGATCGACGATCAATTCTCATGGAAGCAGCAGTCAAAAGATCAGTCTGCACAAGATCTATTTAAAGTGTTGAAAAGCATGGATGTTGCTTTGGGGACTAATGTGTGCCTGACCCAAGCTATGGTATTTTCAAGTGCCTTATGTGCATGTGATAGTTGGACATTGATTAGGGACAATCCCAGAAGAATTGATGCATTTGAATTATGTACTGACAAAGAATGTTGAAAGTACCATGGATGACCAGAAGAACAAACAAATCCTTCTTGGAAGAAGCACAGCTAGAATTCTCCTTAGAGGCAAGCATGGTAACACTTCATCTCACATACTTGGGACATGTCTAAAGAGAGAACAGTCCTTGGAAATGGACATCGGTCTTGGCAAAGCAGAGGGCAGTGAAAAAGAGGAAGGCTCTCAACAAGATGGATTGACACAGTGGCTGCCACATTGGCTCAAACACAGCAACACCTGTGAGGATGCAGCAGTGTTTAGCTCTGTGGCTCACAGGGTCCTTATGCGTCAGAACTGACTTGATGGTGCCTAACAGCAACAACACTTTTAATGATAAGAAAAAATAGACACAAATCAAATAAATGGGTATATAACGTGAATGTGAACACAGCCTAGTTTCCACAAAACAATAATGGAAAACTTATTCAGCAATAATGCTAGATTTGCCTATGGATTTAATTTTTTAAAATGTTTTGATCTGAAACCACTCTATACCCCATATAATTAATCTGCAATGAACCCAAGCATCCTAGTGATTTAGGGAGTGGAGGAAAGTTATCAACAATAGAATAATCTTTTTTAATGGAAAAAATAGCTAGAATAATCTTATGTCTAGAGAAAAAAGTGTAACCATGGATATGTTTCAAGGGGGATGGTTGGGATGTTTATGTAGCAATGGGACTAAGACACAAAGAGTTCATTAAATTTAATGGGTTTCTTTTGCAGCCAATGACTTATACTACCACAGTTAGGAAGTGGTCTATTTTTGATGGAGATGATTAATTATGTATGGTGACTCAGAGTATTTTGTCTGAGTCAGTCATATGTTCTTGAACATGTCCTATAAATCTTTACTGACGTGGGCACTACACTTTGTCAGAATTGATATTCAAGATGAAAGCCATTTTCCATCCTATATAGTAGGAAGAGTACAGGTTGTGCATAGTCTGCTTGAACGTAAAATGCGACCAAGTGTTTGTCATGTTTTGTCACCAACCCTGATCCATAAAATATGTTTATTTTTCTATTCCTAGGTGGTTTTTTTTCAACCAGGTGTAGTTTTAATGATAAATTCCATATTATCTTAATTTCCACATCTAAGAGGCATTATTGTAATAATCTGTTCCAGGAGACCATTTGTTTTGTGAGCTTTTCCAAAGGCATATTCTAGTACCATCTAATTTTTTCACATGCTCCCTTTGTTTCCCATCACTTTTAAGTGATAGCTTGTTATTATTCCAAATATATAAAAAGATGTATTCAAGAGTTCAAGAGAAAGCAAGGAGGTGCTACAAAGTGAGATGCAAAAAACATAACAATTTCCATATGAATATTTGATGGTAATTTTCACCAGCCATTTTGGAAACACAAAAGGATGTGGAGAAAGGGATCTGCCACTCCCCATTTTCATAAATAACCCTTACACTGCAAAGTGTGGGCTCTTTAACACTTATATTTCTCCTACAATGTTCTTCCTAATTTCCTGTGATGTGTATCCCACAGAAAATGTTAAATGTAAGGGCTTTTAAAGTGATGATTGGTGGGCACCGGAATGACTTGTCATGGACCCTATATTAAAACAAACAAATGAAGAACAAACAAACCCAACTTCATTGAGTCCATTCAGACTCATGGTTACCCTACAGGACAGAGTAGAACTGCCTATAGCAGTTCCAGCCTGTTACCTTTATGGAGCCAGATGGCCACATCTCTCTTCAATGGAGGGTGGGTTTGAACCACCAAACTTTTGATTAGCAGATGAATGCTTTAACCATCTGCCACCAGTCCTCCTGGGTTCTAGATCTCCTAGTGTTTATCCCGATGTAGACAACAATTTTTTTAACGTATAAAGCTGCTTTTTCTTGTTTTGCAGATTATTACTGCTAGAGCACATGACTACTATACTTTACACTGGACAGTTCTTAGCTTTGGAGAGGAAACATCATGGCAGGAGAAAATCAAACCGTTCTGTCCGAATTCATCATCATGGGATTCTCCAACCTAAATGACTTGCAATTTCTACTCTTCGCCATATTCCTTATGATCTATATCTGTACCCTCGGAGGAAACATCTTCATTATTTTGGTAACTCTGGCTGACCTGCGACTTCACACACCCATGTACTTTTTTCTGAGGAACTTGGCCTTCCTGGACATCTGCTACACCACCACCAACGTTCCTCAGATGATGGTGCACCTCCTATCAGAGAAGAAGCACATCTCCTACTGGGGCTGTGTGGCTCAGCTCTTTGCATTCCTTTTCTTTGTGGGGGTCGAGTGTCTTTTGTTGGCAGCAATGGCATATGACCGTTACATTGCAATTTGTAAACCTTTAAGGTATTCAGTTATTATGAGCAAGATGCTTTACAGCCAGTTAGCTGCCTTCTGTTGGGTTAGTGGTTTCCTCAACTCAGTGGTGCACACGGTGTTGACATTCCGCCTGCCCTTCTGTGGCAACAACCAGCTTAATTATTTCTTCTGTGACATCCCCCCTTTGCTGATCTTGTCTTGTGGGGACACATCAGTCAATGAGCTGGTGCTACTCATCATTGGGGTCTTCATTGGGTGGGCTCCTTTCTTGGGTATCATCCTTTCCTACTTGTATATCATCTCCACCATCTTGAAAATCCAGTCATCAGAGGGCAGGAAAAAGGCCTTTTCTACATGTGCTTCCCACCTTGTCATTGTCCTTCTCTACTACGGTAGCTCCATCTTTACCTATGTGCGGCCCATCTCATCATACTCCTTGTCCAAAGACCGGCTGATATCTGTACTATACAGTGTGGTCACCCCAATGCTGAACCCCATCATTTACACTTTGAGGAATAAGGACATAAGAAATGCTTTGAAAACTGTGGGACAAAAAGTGACAGTCTCCAAATTTCAATTCTCTTGAAATGTAGCTCTTATTTTCTGTGTTTGGAGAAATAATATTAGAAAAGTATCTATCCTTCTGAAATCATATGATTACTATTTGTGAACACTGCTAATAAAGATCTCAGCATTAAGAGTAGATTTCTATAGTAAAGCCAACAGGAAAAATGTTAAAATAGATGATTTAGGTAAAGGGTGTGTGGCCATTCCTTGTGCTCCTCTTAATCTTGAAACATCTCTGTATGTTTGAAATTGTTTCTAAATAAAATGTAAGCAGTTATTGTGACATTTATGAACATAATTGACTTTATGAAGTTCTTATCTCTACATTGTGCATGTATTTTATAGTTTTAAAAAATTAGAGTCCTGTCAATAATATTCTTCAGTTAACCTGAAGTTCTTAATTTTGGCTCTTGTTCTATGATGAGCTATTAATTTCCTTGTGCTTCACTTTCTTATACAATTTGTCATTTCGATTCTTCCATTTAGCATATTTTCAAAGTCAAAAGAATATCTTCTCTCAAGGAATTCAGAATCCTCATTTTCATACACAGTCAACACATTTTTTTCCATTGAAACTGGCCAAATAATGTTTATCTTGATATGTTCTCATTCAATTTCCATAAAATGATCAGTTCATTTTCATTTCAGACAGAATTATAACAAAATTGCTAAATCCCACATTTTATCCTGAGGAGTAGAGACTCCCCCAGAAATACAGAAATTGTGATGGGGTAAGTTGGAATGAGTTTACTCCAGGACTGAGGATATGAGTGTATACCAGATTTCTCACTAGATAAACAGAGCATGGTGTGAATTATTTTCACTGGGAAAAACACTTCTCCCTGTTGTTTTTATTTCAGAACTCTGTATTGTGCTCCTTCTCAGAGTGGTTCAGCAGTGGTAGTTGGGCACCTGTAAGGTTTCACAACCTTGGAAAACCTACATAGGCCCACTGTGAGCTGTAATTGAATCATGGCAAAGGGTTACTATGCAGTTAGGCAGCACAGAGGGAACACAATGGATTGAACATTGGGCAGCGAACCACCTGGTTGGTGTTGCAAACACACCAGCTGCTGCACAGGAGAAAATGGGCCTTTTTCCTGTAAAGATTTATAGTCTAAGAAAACCCAGGGATCAATTCTGCTCTGTCCTCTAGATGATAATGCAACAACACACATCCTTTGTGTGTTGTGTTCTTCTGTGTTGTGTGGTGTTTTGCGGATTCTACATTAATCTTTAATGCTGCACAGCATTGCAATGTGTGTATGACCTAGTGTGTTAATTTATTCATCTGTTGATGTGAACTTAGGTTATTTCTAGCTCTTTGCTTCAATGAGCATGGATGTTTATGTTTTTGTCCATGTCTTGGCTCTTATTTCTTTAAGTTGTGGGATTTCTGGGCCACATGGTATTTTATTTTCCAGCAAAAGTAGTGCCCAGAAGTCAGTTTATAGCCATAAACACATATCCCAAAAGAAAGAAAAACCAACACCAACATCTAAACCCAACCACTCCAACAATTAGAAAAAGATCAGCAGACAAACACAAATACTGTCTACAGAAGGAAAGAAATACAATTAGAGCAAAAATAAAAGAAACAAAAACAATAGAAAGAAGAGCAAGACTAGAAATGGTTTGTTTGATTGGACAGATTCACACATTTTTTTCAACTACTAGAAAATTTAATAATGGGAAAAAAAGAGACTGCAAGTAGCATGAGCAGATTCCGGGAACCCAAGAGGCAAGAGAATTTTGGGAATGATGAGGGCAACAAATGTATAGATGTGCTTTACACAATTGATCTATGTATTGTGATGAATTGTATGAGCCCCAATAAATTGATTAATTAAAAAAAAAGAAATGAAATGAGTGATATCACAATAGAACCAGCCATAAAAGAGAACAACATAGCCCGATGAGGAACAGAACTCTGTCAAAATTTAAAAGTCTTAGAAGAAATGGACAACTTCTAGAAACATATTACCTACCTAAACTAATACAGACTAAGGTAGAAAATGTTAATAGACATGTAACAAAAGAAGAAAGTGATTAAGTCATAAAAAATAATTTGAACAACAACACAACAAAAAGGCCCTGCCCAGATGGATTTACTGGGGAATTCTACGAGATTATATATATAATCATTTTATTATGGGTTTTTTCACCTTCTACCAAATGTTAAGAGAAGCATTGCCACCAATTCTACTTAATCTGTTCTAGAATATTAACAAGGATGACATTCTCCTGAATTAATTTTATGAAGCAAGCATTACCCCAATACCAAAGGCAGCCAAAGACACCATTAAAAAAGAAAAGTAGAGTCCACTATTCATCATGAACATATATGCAAACATTTTGAACAAAATCCTATTCACTAGAATTCAATACCCCATAAATAAAAACACACCTCCAAATTAGAAATAAATGAATAAAAACCATCATGACCAAGTGAGATTCTTCCCAGATATGTAAGAATTGTTCAATATTGGAAAAATAATTCAATCATTGTAACCCATTCATTATACAAATAAAACAAAAGAAAACATGATCCGATTTTGTGTCTGATCTTGCAGCTAATTTGTGTCTTATTCTCTCCTTTTTAAAACTAATATCCTGAATATCAAGGATAGGTTTGAAATAAAACTTTGGGCAGAATTGCTATTAAATAATAAAATCAGTTTTTACTGGTTTTTGGTGATTTGAAAGAGAACTCAGGAACGATATCCTTTCTCTGTTTGCATTAAGAAAAAATATTTACTATAAAAGTGCAAATAATTTTAGAATCCCTGCATTATTTTGACAGGCTCCATAAAGCTGCTTCTCCGAATTTTAGAGACTATGGAAACACTGAGGCCTTCCATATAAGTTAACCTAATTCATCATCACTGTACAGTCTTCAATGTCTGACCATTTACTTGACCAAATCATTCATTTTCTGGAATGTGTTACCTATGTGCGGCCCATCTCATCATACTCCTTGTCCAAAGACCGGCTGATATCTGTACTATACAGTGTGGTCACCCCAATGCTGAACCCCATCATTTATACTTTGAGGAATAAGGACATAAGAAATGCTTTGAAAACTGTGGGACAAAAAGTGACAGTCTCCAAATTTCAATTCTCTTGAAATGTAGCTCTTATTTTCTGTGTTTGGAGAAATAATATTAGAAAAGTATCTATCCTTCTGAAATCATATGATTACTATTTGTGAACACTGCTAATAAAGATCTCAGCATTAAGAGTAGATTTCTATAGTAAAGCCAACAGGAAAAATGTTAAAATAGATGATTTAGGTAAAGGGTGTGTGGCCATTCCTTGTGCTCCTCTTAATCTTGAAACATCTCTGTATGTTTGAAATTGTTTCTAAATAAAATGTAAGCAGTTATTGTGACATTTATGAACATAATTGACTTTATGAAGTTCTTATCTCTACATTGTGCATGTATTTTATAGTTTTAAAAAATTAGAGTCCTGTCAATAATATTCTTCAGTTAACCTGAAGTTCTTAATTTTGGCTCTTGTTCTATGATGAGCTATTAATTTCCTTGTGCTTCACTTTCTTATACAATTTGTCATTTCGATTCTTCCATTTAGCATATTTTCAAAGTCAAAAGAATATCTTCTCTCAAGGAATTCAGAATCCTCATTTTCATACACAGTCAACACATTTTTTTCCATTGAAACTGGCCAAATAATGTTTATCTTGATATGTTCTCATTCAATTTCCATAAAATGATCAGTTCATTTTCATTTCAGACAGAATTATAACAAAATTGCTAAATCCCACATTTTATCCTGAGGAGTAGAGACTCCCCCAGAAATACAGAAATTGTGATGGGGTAAGTTGGAATGAGTTTACTCCAGGACTGAGGATATGAGTGTATACCAGATTTCTCACTAGATAAACAGAGCATGGTGTGAATTATTTTCACTGGGAAAAACACTTCTCCCTGTTGTTTTTATTTCAGAACTCTGTATTGTGCTCCTTCTCAGAGTGGTTCAGCAGTGGTAGTTGGGCACCTGTAAGGTTTCACAACCTTGGAAAACCTACATAGGCCCACTGTGAGCTGTAATTGAATCATGGCAAAGGGTTACTATGCAGTTAGGCAGCACAGAGGGAACACAATGGATTGAACATTGGGCAGCGAACCACCTGGTTGGTGTTGCAAACACACCAGCTGCTGCACAGGAGAAAATGGGCCTTTTTCCTGTAAAGATTTATAGTCTAAGAAAACCCAGGGATCAATTCTGCTCTGTCCTCTAGATGATAATGCAACAACACACATCCTTTGTGTGTTGTGTTCTTCTGTGTTGTGTGGTGTTTTGCGGATTCTACATTAATCTTTAATGCTGCACAGCATTGCAATGTGTGTATGACCTAGTGTGTTAATTTATTCATCTGTTGATGTGAACTTAGGTTATTTCTAGCTCTTTGCTTCAATGAGCATGGATGTTTATGTTTTTGTCCATGTCTTGGCTCTTATTTCTTTAAGTTGTGGGATTTCTGGGCCACATGGTATTTTATTTTCCAGCAAAAGTAGTGCCCAGAAGTCAGTTTATAGCCATAAACACATATCCCAAAAGAAAGAAAAACCAACACCAACATCTAAACCCAACCACTCCAACAATTAGAAAAAGATCAGCAGACAAACACAAATACTGTCTACAGAAGGAAAGAAATACAATTAGAGCAAAAATAAAAGAAACAAAAACAATAGAAAGAAGAGCAAGACTAGAAATGGTTTGTTTGATTGGACAGATTCA